CATCGCTGCTACGTCTTCCCAATCAGCAGAAAAAGCCACTGTACACCAAAGTTCTCTCAAAATTGTGAATTCCAGACTCTGCCGAGAGCGTCTGCTCAGCGACTCGCCTCAGAAAGTCTGTTTCAGCCCCTTGTACCTGGAATCGAAGTGTTTTAGTCATAGCTCGCGACTAATAACCGTAGATGAGCACAAGGAAAAAGATCGATTTGAACACTGCAAGGTTAGTCTTCAGATTTAGCTGTGCTTTAATCGTAACAGAACGCTGTTGGTCATTCCAATTCGCCGGTCGATCTCTTCTATTTTCAATCATCGATAGAAACCATCTCATCGTACGTGAGCTTTTTCATCTGTTCCAATATTGCTTATCTGCAGAGGGCACTGAGCAGGGAATCGAGAAAGTATTGGCTGGGCCTTCGGTTTCAGACACGACAGTCAACAGCGTCAACCACTTCCTTGTTTGAAAAATGCCAATATTGCACATCATATCAGGTGAGAAATTGAGTAATCGATTAAATAGAAACTTTTATATTTTAAGAATGCTATGCAAGATAAACACTTAAATAAGCCCAAATAAATTCGTTAAATTCGATTTTGTAGTAGCAAATACAAATGATCAGTATTATAATTTCTGAAAAAATACATAAACAAATTTACGATGAACGGTGTCTGAAAAAAATTAGAAGGATCGATCAGGATTTGCTTGAAAACAGGTTAAGCGGAAGGGGAAATGAATGATCAGCTATTACTGCGGCGCTTGACGTTTACTTTCAAAAAGTTTTTGTCTTCAAAGAGCGATAGGCAGCTATACTAAAACCGCAGTCGATATAGTCTTACGAAAGTTTCAGAATTTTCCCCTGTAGTAAATGTAATTTCCAGCCAAATATATAACTAGCATGTCACTGATCCAAACTGGTCTTGGGGAAGAAAACCAGAATTGGTTTTGTCCCTCTTCCGCCTGAATAGCGAATATTGCTTCGAATTAGTATTGAGAATTCTCATGGAGTATTAATACACAAATGATCACAGCTAGCTACCGATTAAGCGTTATATGGATTTAGTTATTTAGAGACCCTTTGCGGAAAAAACAGAATGGCAGCTTTAAATCAGTGTTAGTTCAAATGAGGGTTCACCAGTTAAAATATTTGCATTCATGGTTTGAAGATCAAGCTTGCTGTCAAAGATAAACTTTATTTTATTAGAACCCCAACGTTATCATTGTAATCAAAGAATAGAGAATAAAATGTGAGATTTGGGTGGCTTGGTTGTGATGAAAATAGGGCAGTGGCTAGCAGCAGTAGACAGTTGACCATCGTCCCTGCAGAAACAGCTTGAAGCAACATTAAATTGGCCGGAACAGCGAAACGAATGATCTGACCGACTGCTAGCACTCGTTCGTGTGTAGCAACCAATTAGCATCTGAGCAGGAACAGCTGACTTCTACGGGCTCAGTTAGACAAATAAGAGTCAGATTTCATGAAATTGCACGACATCACATTATGCAAATCATCAACAAACAAAGATTAAGCAAATGTGAGCGTGCTGTTTTGCAGCAAGTCAGAAAAGTTGTTTTCTTGTTGAAGATTCAGTGAAGATGCAAAAAGTAACAGCGTTCGCGCCACAGAGTGGATATGCGTCGATAAAGCTCTACCACCAATCGCAGCTAGCGTCTGAACATTAAACAAAGTATGGAAGAAGCAGCAGTAAAAACGAGTTGTTTAGAACTATGGCCCTGTTCAATGGTGAGGAGTAAGCGTCTCGCCACCAGCATGTAATTCTACTGGACGCTTTTGCATGACAAAGGACAAGAAAGTTCTTATCGCTCACCAGTTTCCTTAGCGCGAGTTATTTGGTACGTTTAATCGAAGCCGATATGATCCTCAGAAAAAAAAAGAGTTTTGCAGGTGCTGGTCATTGCGCTATTAATGAGCAGAAATGCAGTAGCGTTTTTCGACAAAAATTATTACAATCTAATGATTTCTGCACTCTATCTCGTAAGAGTTTGCTTTTGAGTCCAGTCCGCTTGCTAAAGAGCGCGAAAATGAAGACTGCAATGAACCACTTCGTGTAAAACGAAAGTAGTGGTTTCCAGCTTTCATGTAAAATCTAGATATAACAGCGAAAGAGATCAGATTACTGTTGAACTCTTACCCCTGCTTTAGATTTTACGTTAAAACAAGCAACATTTTCGCCGCTGTTAAATATGTTTTTACTCAGTTGAAAGTTACGCAATTGCCCAGATGTTGTCATATTCATTTACATTATGACGCATCGTAGGATGGAATAAGAATGTTTGTTTTGTCAATGTAAATTTTCTAAAGCAAAGAAATCACCTCACCGCAAATCGGCGTAACCAACTGATAAACGGGTGGTTGTAAGTCGTTGGCCTGAGAATACGGGCAGCACTCTGATTTGGTTTAGTCAAACGATAGGGTGCGAAACTAATAATCATGTCTGATGCCTGCGTTTAAGGGCTTGATTACTCCGACCCACCTAATAGCTAACTAAATGTCAGCATAAGATGCGCAACAAAAACATCTGGTCTTTGCTTAAGGTTATTTGCGACTGATGTAAAACTAAAACTGGATACTCACATCTGACAATGTCAGGATTCAAGCGCTGAGCTCTCCTGACGACGGCATATTCGGTGTCTTCATCCGATTCTGGTTCGACCTCCTCCTCTAAAATGTAGTCATACGGTAAAAGGCATTTCTGACCGCACTGCATTTAGAAAACGCTTTCTGTGTTAGTACCTCCGGTAGTGATGAGTGGTGGGGCAGCAGCCGCGTCGGTGATCCCCAATTCAGGATGGAAGATCTGCTGCATGTGGGTCTTGCAGTAGAGGAGGCCTTCGTGGGTATAATAATTCTGAACGCTAAAACGAAACAAGACAAGATACAGAAGTGAAATAATCGGCTTTCAATACCTGAGTCCCTTCAGACATTTGGAACATTTGAAGCATTGTCGGTGGAAGACTTTCTTATCCATCTTCACCTTGTCCACCGGATAGACAATGCGCTCACACACGGCGCATTCGGTCGCCTCCTCATCGTCCTTGGTGCCCTTAATACGTTGCCATAGTTTTACTTGCTCGCGCACGAACATCGCCGCGCCGGCAGAAGTATGTATGTGCCACTATGCATGTGCCTGTTGAGACTCCTCCTCCCTCATCACTACCTCACGCTGTAGCGGCTGTGCGAAATGCGCGCACGTGGGTAGCTTTTTCACGACGAGCTGCGCACTGCTGACAGCTGCTCTTAGCCGAGAGCAATAATCTGATAACGAAAGAGGCCCCGAAACAGACCAAGGAAAAAGGCTCTAAACAAAATGCCGAATGGCTGCGTTTATGAGGATTCATTTTG